ATTATTGTTACGTATTGCATTATTAGTACTGCTTTTATAGGTCATTGAACACACAATATACAGTTGGCGAATTATTCATGTGTACAATGATTTTTATTACATAATAATATAATAATTCTCCGATATACACAATATATTGTGAAAAGGAAAAATCTTTCATAATCGCAGGTACTATCATTGGTATCTTTTATTCTTAAAGAAAGGTGAAAAAAGGAACAAAAAAAATATTAAAGAACAAATTAAAATGTGTTAAAAATGATATATTTAACAATGTATTTCATTTTCGTTAATATTTAAATTATTTCTTTCCGTTTTGGATTCTTTGATAAAAAATATAAAAAATTTTGTTAATATTTTCATCATATAAACAATAGGAGAAAAAATAATTGCATTTCAGTTTCCGATGTCTTATTTTAATGAACTTTTCTATTATTTTTAAATATTATAACCACTAAAGAAAGTTCATATACATCATATTCATATACATCAATATTCTCTTCTTTAGTTGAAAAATTTGCAGGTTAGGGTAAAAATCGAGATCGAGATAAATCGATTTGTCGAGATTTATCGAAAAATTAACATCTCTGATTGGTTGCTCTGAATTCTTATAGAGGATTTTTTTCTTCCTAAAAAATAGTGTTCGGTAAATACTCTATTGTACATGTAACTTCGTCGAAGGTATTAAAGTCCTGTCTATAACGGAGTTACTCAGAGCTTTCTGTGACTTAGCAAACATGTAAATATGGAACTCGTCCCATTGGCAATCCTACAATTTTCATGCACTTTTCTGTTTAGCTTGCATCTCTGATGCGCGGGTAGACACAATAAATATTTGCAGAGCCTACTTCCAGTTGAATTTCTTCCTCGAAATACTTCTATTTCTCGTTTCTTGGACACGATAATAATAACGAATATCGCGTGTCCCAAATAATGCATCTAGAAAATTGAGTGAACTTGTCAATTTTTCTTCCCTATACAATACATTTTTTATGCAAAAAAAAAAAAAATAAAGAATTTTTCTTCCCTCAAAATAACTAATTAATTTCTCCCTTTTTTCAGCAATTAAACAATGATTCGTTTCACAAAAAAAAAATTATTCGCAAAAAAATGATTGAATTTATTAAAGCAAAAATAACAATATCATCTGCTACCAATTGATCACATCAGCATATATTGAACTTCAAGGCCAGGTGTTGCGGGTATTGAATTTTTATTTTCATCCAGAAACAGCTGCTAACCCGTGCGTTACCAATTTTCGAAACTTCGTGAGTCATCAAAAATAAGTAATTCGATGATCTTGAACAAATTTCGTATATATATATTCTAAGTATTCTGACCAAAGAAAATTTGTGCTATTAATTTTTTATTGATCCATTTAAACCAACACTTGAATAAAATATTCCATAACTCTTCAAACTTATAAATAATTAATCACAGTATATAGTTTTTCTGATATTTGTATATATAATGAAAGTAAAAGTTTGTTTATAAACTGTCTCTATAAAAAGGACAATTTAAATATAGACTATATTTAAACGAGTCAATCAAGAATTTATCAGCTGTCCTCTCAATACCATTTAAAACTTCAACAAAAACCGAAAAAGTCGAATAATCATCAAGTTTTCCTCTACCTGTTATGCAAACACATTTTCCTTCAGTCCTTCTCCATTCGGCAAAGGTAAATTTACCTAGCCTAAATCGATTGAATGCCTAATGTCGTCCCATAATTTTTAAACTTCAACACATATTTGCGGGTTTTTTATAATACTTGACTAAAATTTTTTTTTCGAACCCATTTCAAAATTTGACGACTAAATAAATTCGTAAAATAAATTTTTCCTAAAAATGACCACTCTTTGTTGAATGAGAATAAATAAAGACCTGTTTTTTCGGTTTCTTCTTCTTCTTCCTCTTTGTCAAGGTGTTCTCTTTATTTTTTTTCCTATTTATTCTTTTTTTTAAAATCACAATCTCAAAGCATTAGGTGTACATTTTTATTTTCAGAATGAAAAAGTGTGTAACGAAAAAAGTTTAAGTACTTTGAAAAGTATTTTCATTAAAAAACAGAAACCGCCATTCTGCGTTAGATAAAAGTTGGAATGAGTCAACACAGCAAAAAAAAAATCGCTAATGAACGAAACAAACTTCTTTGCGTTATATTCTTTTGTTTCACGCTTATTATTTACACTTTGCATATACATAATTCAAGCTGCAAATAGAGTTTTGTTGATATAAGAAAATATCTTTTTCTCAAGAATTCCATTACTAGAATATTGTTTTAATAGTCGGCACTTTATTTTATTATAATAAAAAACAATATAATTATTATTGCAAACCCATTGACAGAAATAATTAGAGAAAAATATTCTTTATTTAGGAGCCGCTTCTTAATGATTAATTTTGTCAATTTATTATTATTTTTTCTATTATTATTATTATTATTATTATTATTATTATTATTATTATTATTATTATTATTATTATTATTATTATTATTATTATTAGTGATAATTAATTATTATGAAAATAAAGTAATTAATAAAGTGAATATTTCACTATTTTCGGAGTAGCTTATACGAAACTGGAAATAGATTTCTAAAATCCAAAATGGCTGATCCAATATGGCCGTCAATTGCTTAGAAACTAATCATCAGAAACTCAGAATCTTTATTTGAATTTCTTAATTCCGAGTCTAATAATCCGTAATTAACATTCTAAAAGACAAGTGGAAAATTTTAGACCGAACGCTGATTACGAATTTCGAGTTGAAATTTAAAAATTCAAATAAAATATTAAATTAGTCAAAGAAGCTTCAAAATGAAGAAAAACATTAGTTCTTATAGAGTCAATGATCACGGATTTAAAATCAGATTTTGAAAATTTAATTAATTATTAATGAAGTATTAAAAAACACTTCTAAAAATAGATTAATATTTATTTGGTATTTGCCCTTTTTTAAAAATATTTATAAACAATAAATAATTCTTGTAAGTTGTTCCACTAAATTATAACTATAAAGAATTATTTTATAAATATTTTGTAAAAGAAATTAATATTTTAAGTGACAAATTAACAAAATTATCGAAGGAATTTTGATTTAATGTTTGAATTCAAAAATACAAAATGTCTGATCCAATATGGCCGACAATTTCTCAGGAATTCGTCTAAAACTTTCCATTTAAAATTTTTTTTAGACAACGTTAAAGAATCCAAAGTTATAATTTAGAAATTCAAAATAACAGTTCCAACTGATCGAATAAATAATAATAATAATAAAAATAATATTAATTTTCAAAATTGAACAATTCGTCAATGAAGAAGAAATCTTTTCGAAAATCAAGCAGTTGCTCAGCACATCGAAAAATATTATTCTCACGAAACCGAAAAAAATCACTCAATTTTTCTCAAGTTTTAAGGTTTAATAGGTTACTCTTAAAAAGTTTTTTACTTCCTAAGTAAATGAAAGAAGTGAAATTTGTTAAAATTTTGTCAAGCTATAAAAATAAGAAAAAATAATTTTTGATGCTGAGCATCGATGTCAATTTCAGGAACCTCATAATCTTGCATTTGGAAATTTGGAAGTTTGAAATCTTACTGTTCGGAAGTTGCTTTCGAATCAGTTATAATTTATAAATATTGCAATTCAAAATTTGCCAATTACGAATCTGTCAATTCCAAACCTTGCTGTTTCGAATGTTGAATATAATGTTAGTTTTCGAAAATTCAAAATGGTGGATCCAATATGGCGGCCAAATTTTTAAAAATAACACAGTCTTGCTTGATACTTGTTACTAAAGGGTTTTTTCAGGGTCGCTGATTACGAATATGATAGCGAAACAAATGAATAAAGGCATATGATTCATTTTTTCTAAAACTTGTTTGACATTATATACTGTAGTTTAAGTAAAAATTCAATTTACTTCAAATTCGTAATCAGCGACCCCCAAAAAACCCTTTAGTAACAAGTATCAAGCAAGACTGTGTATCTTTTAAAAAGCATTCCGCTATTTTGTATCATTTTTATTACTTCGTCCGCCATATTGGTTCCGCCATTTTGAATTTTTAAAAACTGACATCATACTCGTAATCAGCGACCCTGAAAACCCCTGAGTAACAAGTATCAAGCAAAATGGTGTCATTTTTAAAAATTCGTCCGCCATATTGGATCCGACATTTTGAATTTTCGAAAACTGATATCATAATATACTCCCGAGCAACAAGTTTCGAAGTAAATTTTGCTAATTTTTACAAATATGTTCTTTGAACATAGTAAAATTTACTACAAGCGTATAGCAAACTTTACCCCGAAAGTAGTAAAAGTTATATCAGAAATGCCTAACCAGAAAAGTTGTTTCTATGAAAGTAGTAAAAGTTACTTTATATTTTTCTTCGTGTGGATTTTAAATTTGTAATCCATTGTTACCTGAGAAAGGATCATCATCATCACCATCTAATGATCCTCAATTTCATCCACGTAGCCCAACTATAAAAATCGAAAAACAAAAATTGAAGCGAAACAAAAGCGTAACGAATCCTCTTCTTCTGAACTATTTAAGGGCTAACCTTGAAAATAAAAAAAAAGAACTCTTGAAGTCGTGTGCCGAAAAATATATGTCTTCCCCCTCAACCCCCTTCATCCTCCGGACAGGTCCCTATCCCGAGGGCTGAAGCATCGTTAAAAAAAAAAGTTGGCGCAGGCGGTCAAAAACGGTCGGTGGTCCCTGCGGGCTCCTGCAGTTTGCCCCGAAGAAGAAAGAACCACCTGCCGTGGGGACCGGTGGGGGCACCTCAACGTTGCTTCGTACCCCCTCTCCCTCAATATTTCTTCTCTCCTCTCTCTTCCCCACCACCCATTTCGTCGAACCAACACTCGAGTCCCCTCACTTGAATTCCCCTCCATCTATCCCCCAAGAACATCGTGCGGCGGGTTGCATGCTGCACGAGTGAAAAAATAGGGTGGTTGTGAAGGTATAGGTGGGGGGGTTGCGCTGGTACCGCGCGTCTCTACATTCAGTTGCCGCGCGACTGTTGAGAGGTGCGCACACAAATTTCCACCATAGAAGATTGTTGATACAATCTTCTTTAGAAAAAAAGGCACCACATTTTTTTTTCTGTTTTTGCAAAACAAAAAATAAAACCAGTGAACGTGACTTAAACAAGGATATTTTACCCCGAAAAATATTTCTTCAAAACTTCTTCATACCCATCCATTTCTCTCAGATTAAACAATTAGGATTTCAAAATCAGTGGATTTATCAACAACCAAGTGATTTTTGTTAATCAATGTGATTTTGCAAAAGTGATAAAAAATTTGTGTGCTCTTTGGAAAAGTTAGGTTTTTAAGTGAAGAAAGCCTAATGGTGTTTTTAAATGTTGAGGCGCGACAGGTGTTGAAGGTGAAGCAATGACCAATCGCAGGTGAAAGTGGATTATTAGGGACAGTTACAAAAAAAAATAGTGTTTTTTTTGTGTTTTGAAAGAGGTTTTCTTTTTGATTAAGTTTGAGTGCATGTGGATGTATATTTCCATTATGGATTCAGGAGGATTTAGGATTCCGAGTTCACTGCGGATTATCTTCAGTCTTTCACTCTTGTACTACGGTGAGTATCCCGTCGGAGAAGGGCTATATATATATAGTTGTTGGAAACAAAATTTTGTCCCTCTAGAATCATGGAAGCTTTAGTGATAATACCTTTTCTGGTGATAATCGTTGCTGATGGTTAGTTTTAACTGAAAATCATCGACGTGTAAAAACCGTTAAATTTGAAACGGGGTACGGTTGACACTATAAAAGATTTTATCCCATCATCAACTGCGGGGAAATTGCATCCCAATTTGTCTCGGTTAACCCCTAAAAATACTTTCCTTGTGGATCAAATCACTTGGGTTTACTTTTAGAAAGAGCTAATTTCTGAACAAATTTTTCACAGAAAATGATTGATTGCTACAGGGGTGGAAAAATTTCCATATTCCTTGAAATTTGAATCTCTTTTTTGTTTGGTTCAGTGTTTGATGATTCGTATTAATCTCGACTAAAGTGGATTATTACCCGAAATTGAGGAAATTTTTCACTTCCGTTTTCAATTGTATTTGAATGAAGCAATCAACAACAGTATTGTGAAAGCTTTTGTACATTATGCTCTTGTAACAAGATAAGCAGAAATGGCAACTAAATTTCCACTCTAATGAGTAAATCTTCATGAAGACTAATTAAAACTGGCGTTGTCGACAGATGTCCTTGTGGTTGGAAAACATTCTTTATAAATATCGTGACTGAATTAAAATGGGTCGTTTTAACATGGGAAAAATTTTGAGTTTTTACATCCTGAGTGACAGCTGCGAAGAAAACAAAACTATTTTTCTTCTTGTACCCTTTATTCTAAGAATTAATTTTTTAGAATTCTTAAGTCCAATTTTGACTCCAATTTTTGTAAAAATTGAATACTTTACAAGGCGCCCAATAGTCAATTGGATTGTGTCTGCAAAGGCGCCTTTTTAATACCGAGTATCTTCAGCAAACTTTCCTACTCTAAATAGAATTCAATTGGTTTGCAATTGAAGATAACGATATTATGCAACAAACTTCTGCAAACCTTCCAATTAATCAGAATTTTATGGCTAAAAAATCAAAGAGCAAATTAACTTCTTGATTTCAACAACCTCTACTATTGCAAATAATTACCGTCGTCGTCGTCACTTAACATTTAAAAAAAAAATCTTCGACACTCGCTGTTTGTTGCTCAATCAACGACCATGAGCTCGCAATTCACTCAGTGCAATAACCTTTCTCTGCTTCAGATCATTATTTCAAAAAAAGAAAGAACGCACAGAATTCTCTTATCTGATTTTTATAATTTTCCGAATACAAAAGAAGTTTTCTTCCTTATTTTCAAATTATCTTTTTTTCAATCCTTCGATTTAAAATGTCGGCTTTTTTAAAAATCGTAAAACATAATCGACGAGAAGGAAATTGTAAATTCATAGTTGACAGTAAATGCAATTTTTCTCTTTCCAAAAGGAGATTTATATCTAGAAATGATTAAAGTTTAAATGTCATATATAATAGTAAAAAAAAGTGTTGTTCTTCTACTTTCGTCTTCTTATTTTTTTTTTTTTTTTTTTTAAAGTGGAAATTAGATGATGTCAGATACATGAATTTTAAAACTGAAAGAACATACATACACATATATTTATTTTAGAGAAATAGAGAGAGATGCATTTGGAGTAACCGTGAAAAATTTGCAACGACTTAGAATTCACGCAAGGTCGCATTTGGAATAGCAAAAAAGCTCCTTTCTCCGGAAGAGATTCAAACGCGATTTCACAGAAATTCGAGCGTTTATCCGATCGAACTGAAACTTAAACTGAATGTCAATCCAAATGTGGAACGACGTTATGTATTTATTTCTTATATTGAAATGTAAAATACACTATGCAAAAAAAGAAAAAAAAATGCAAAAATAAAATACAAATACACCATATGTAAAACTGTTTAAAAAGTAATGAAATGTCAATAATTTAGAAAGAAACGTGTTTTTTTTTCCTCCCCTATCGAAAAAGTGAGAGTTTTCCTAGTAGATTTGTTGCGGGGAAAGATTTTGATGTTGCGGAGAGAGCGATAATTCTGTTATTTCACGAATTGAGTTAACCCAGAAATTCGTTTTGGACGAAACTCTGTTTGCTGAAACTCCCTTTTTCCCAAATCACTCGTGCTTCAAAAAATGTTGATTACTTTTTTCATCTAAGCACAATTTTCGAATAAAGTATTTCTTTTTGCAAAAAGTTTGTTGTATTATAAATTATAATTTATCATCACTTGATGATAAGAATTGAAAAAAAATATTAATCTTTTGTTTGAAGAACAGTAATTTTTTAAAATAAATATTCACTTAAATTGGTTGTTAAATAAATATTTATTTAAATTGTGTTAAATTTTGCCTTTATTTGTTTAAACGAAATTTCCAAACAATTAACCAACAATCTAAAAGAATGCACCTGTATAAAAAATGAATTATCAACATGACGAATGGCGTTTAATTCTAATTGCAGTTAATTTCGAAAGCGGAAGAGATTTATTGCTTGTAACTTAGCATTTATAAAGTGCATGTTGATTCATATTTATGGTAAAATGGTTCATAATTTAGTTTCACCCTTTAAACGCAGTGACGAGTGTGTTCTGTTGTAAAATAAATTGCAGTTCTGAATTTTGATGTTCCGAAATTGTCAATGTTGAATTTGGCAATTCTGAATTTGGCAGTTTAGAATTTTGCAGTTCTAAATCTTGCATTTCTGAATCTTGTATTTTGGAATTTTGATTTTTAAATCCATTAGTAAAATATGGATCTTAAAATAAAAGTCTAGAACTGTACATAATTATAAAAAATAATGACTGCTTAAATTTCTCTTTACACAAAAGAACAATAATCGTGCGACATAAATTTTTGCGCACACGTGCACAAAAAGCGAAAACAAACAATATATATATATATATATATATATATATATATATATATATATATAAATAAACGCCGAGACAAAGTGGAGAAAGTGCACGAAATGTGCCGCCGTATTATTTCCTCATCTAATAATGAAAACAGCGTGTGGCGATTTAATTTTATTCGCGTTTTAATCCGGGTCGTGAAAGTTCCTATAATCACGCACAAATTCAAATTTATTATTTTCCTCGCACACGCAGAGTATGCGATTTACCCAAAAAAAGGTGAATTGCAAATCACAGATTTTATTTTTAAGAACCGAAAATAATGGACAAAATTTATATTTTAAGTATATACCTTATTTCATACATCGATCGAAAACTTAAAAATTATATATTTGCCCATTTAATTGCAATTGTTAATCCGAGATTGGAATTTCTGACTAACCTGTCGTTTGCAATATCTATAGGGAGAATGTCACTTCTATTTTAATTGTCGTGCGCAATTAAAATTGAATAGGTACCTCTCGATAAGTATCCGTTTGAATGCCGAACGCGATTCCGCCAGTGAAATCTGATAATATTGTCAACGATATGGAAAAATTTTTTTTTTATTATTATTATTATTTCCTAAAGTTTTGCTCTTTAATTTCTATTTTCACCACTCTAGAAATTCGTTTTTTTTTCATAGAATTATTCCAGTTATTTTTTCAATAATCTGTATCTTGATTTTCCAGATTTTTAAAATTTTCATGACAATTTTCTCCGATTTAATAGTAATCTATATCTCCATTTTCCAGATTTTGGAAATTTTAGTAATAATTAACTATATTAATCTCCGTATTCTTTCATTTATTCTGTCCGCAGTTTGAAGTTAGTTTTTGTGTATGGTTTTTTTTTTCTTTAAAAAATAGTGTTTGACAAATCGAAAATATATATATATATATATTGTAACTCATTTTTTTCTTTTGGGAAGAAAAAAAATTTGATATTCCCGTTTCTTCTTATTTTTGTAGAAAATTCTCAATTTTCATAATGAAATAATTTACATCAATTCTATTTCTTGATTTCAATTGTTTTAATAAAATTCAAAGTTTTTTAAAAATAAAGGGAAAAATATGTTTATAAATTATATTTGTCAAATTAGAAAATTTAATTGTGGGTCTGGAACGGATAACTGCCTGCAACTCATGGTTGAAAAGGACTATACCAGTCAGACAGCAGTGAGAGGCCTAGAGGCGCTCACTGTTGTCTGACTGGTACAGTTCTTTTCAACTATGCGTAGCAGGCAGTTATCCGTTCCAGACTCTCAATTGCCAAAATGAAACTAAAAAATTTTGAATTTTTAGGAAATAAAGGAAAAAATTTTATTAAACAAAATGTTCCGTTACATTTATTTAAAAATATTCTTAATTGTAAAATTATTCGAAAAAAATAATTTCTTTTTTAAATATTTAAATTATTATTATTTTTCCATACGAATTAAAATTTTTAACGGGAATTGAATTATTTAAATACAAAAGTAAATTATTTATTGAATAATCGAATGTTTCTTAAAATTTAATTCTTATAAAGAATTTTATTAATAAATTTTTGAAAAATTGAATTCTTTTGACGAATTTGAAAAAATTATTGAATTTCTGCAATAATTTGTAACTTCTCCAAAATTCAATTTGTTTTAGTGTTTTTAACTAAAATTCTTCTATAAATCCATTATTTTTAATAACTAGTTGAATATGTAGTAAAAAATTTAACTAATTTCAACAGAATTAGTTTATAATCTTTCAACAGAATTGAAATTAAAATTCTTCAAAGAAATTAGTTCTATAAAATTAACAATTAAAATTATGAAATATTCAAAATTTGCAAACACTTTAATTTGAAACCTTTTCAAAATTCTATTATTTCTAAAAATTCACGCTATAATGCTTTTAATATTCAATTATTATTATTTAAAAATTTAATTGAAATTCATTTTTAAATTAATTTTTATTAGAAAATTCTACTAGACTTCAATTATTTAAATACAAAAATAAATAACTTATTGAATGTTTTTCAAAATTGAATTCTAATAAAGAATTTTATTAAAAAAATTGTTAAACAATTATTGAATTCTTTTGACGAATTTTAATATTTTTAAGAATAATTACATTTTTCGACCAATTC